ATAATACATTTTTAACGTCTTCTATTTTTTAAAGCATTGAATATTTTTGGTGCATCATCATAGAAGATTTTGCCTTTACAAGGCATTTGTCCACCTTACATTACATTACATCTACATTAGCACATAAAAAATTTGAACGTCTTACATGAAGAAACCTTACCGCCGGTAAACACGTGGTTGCAGAGAAATGTGTTCTGAAAGGGGTTCTGTGGTTGTGTTCTGTTGTTCGAAAAGGTTCTGAACAATACTGGTAATTCGGGAAGTTAGATAACGGGGCAGATGTTGAAAATAATGAAAGATCCGGGAAGAAAAGTGAAACGGATTTTATTCTAAAGGGTGTAATTCGAAGCCTTTTCCAAAATGCGAGAAATTCACGAATTTTGAAATTGATTTATAGAATGCGCGAATTTCTCGCGGTGATAATTTTTTAATGCGAGAAAAGAAAAAAATATGCGAGATTCTCGCGCTCTAGTGAAAACACTGCATAACAAAGGTTTGTGTAAGTGTTAAAATAACAAAAGTTTGTGTAAAAAAGTGTTTACAAAAAAAAACTATTTTTAGATTTATTGAACGTGTAATAATTATTTGTTTTAATATTATAGGCGATGTTCTCGCATTTTGTTGGGGATCGAAAGCACAAATTAGTTCCTTCTTCGCATTTTGTAAATAATCATCACGAGAAAAAAAAAAATTTAAAATTGTGAAATCCGTAGTAGTAACTGCCGAAAACAGATAGGCGAAATCCCGCGAGTCGGACTTCTGAAATGTGTGTTTCGTTTCGAGATAAGGTTGTTATAAATAATATCGTATAAAGATATTGATAATAAAAACTACGAGAAATCAATGGCAGTAACTTTCGATAGAATTATCGCCTTGAAAAGTAACGAAGCGAATGCACAATTCGAATTCTTCATATTGTTTGAAATATATCGGTATATTTAAAATCCACGTGGAAATAAATTACGAAAATACGATCGATTTCTGATACAATCGGCAGAAATTGAACGCGCCAGAAAGTGTTATCTAAATGCATGGTTCAAATATGTGTACATTTCTGTAGAAAAGAAATTTTTTTTTTAAACTTTTCAAAAGAAGATAGAATCAACATAAATCGAACTCATCTAATAGCAGGGTGCTTAATGTTTTTAAAAATTGCTTAAATGTGTTTATTTTTGTTTTTTAAAAGCCCTTAAAGCAGGCATGAAAGTTTTCAGCTTTTACTCTGAATTCAGCTTTTTTCAAAGATAAGCTCCATACATTTTTAATTTCATAATGTTTGATTGCGTTTATGTAGAATTCAGCTTTTTTTTTGCTAACTGGTACTTTCATCCCTGTTAAAGGTGCTTTTTTCATTGGGTGTTTTTAAAAAGTGATTTTCCATTTTCCAAGAAGGAGATTTTTCCTTTACCATGTTGATTTTCGCTACAAATTATGCAGAAAGGCACTGTTCACATTGTTCTATTCAACGTTTTTATAATTAATTCAACTCCAAACTATTTTGGCGCATTTTCAGTCCGTAGCGTATTTTGACAATTGTCAAAACACTGCCAAAAGATTTTTTTTTTAACCTGTTGGTTAAAAACAGATAAAAACCTTCAATTGTCAGAAACTTTCCAACCCTGCCTAATTATGATATTTTAAGTGCTTAAAAATATTATTTGAGTGCTTTGAAAAGTACTTAAACTGTGCTTATTTTTTTGTTGAATAATTTGGCTACAAGCCTTGTAATAGTGATAACCCAAATGGGTAAATCACATGACAAATCTATTAACTATATCAAAATTAATTTGAAAGAGGGAAGCGGCAAAAGAAATTATTTTTTTCGCAAGACAAGTGTTATTATTTTAAAAACTAGGTTTGAAAAATGATGATTGCTTAAACTGAATGTTTTTCATAAAGAAATTTTTAACTGTAAAACTATTAACTAAAATTTTGTTTGCGCGGAGAAGCTCTTCTACTTAAACATAATTATCAAGTTTAGTGCAAATCATTCAGCTAGTATTCAAAAGTCATGAAAAATATTAGACATTCTATAAATTTTTTTTGTATAACTTATATTAATTTAATATTGATATCAATAAATTAGAAAGGGATGCTGGACCGTACTATTAAAACATTTTGTGCTCTGTTATTTGTGTAAAATAGTGTGCAGTTGTTGTTTTTCTATATAAGTTGCTGCTCACTTAAGAGCAATGTGATATATATATATATATTTTAAAGAAATGTTATTTTGATGAATCAGAGTGCGTAGTGTTTTTAAAAGATGCTTATTTTCGTTTTTTTAAAGCTCGTAAAAGTGCTTTTTCCATTGGGTGTTTTTGAAAAGTGTTTAATTTTTCCCTTTTTCAAAATGAGATTTTTCTTTATGTTGATTTTCGCTATGAATTATGCAAAAAGGCACAGTTCATGATTTTTGACATTTGTCAAAAACATTGCCAAAAGATTTTTTATTTTTTACATGAAGGTTAAAACAAGATAAAGCCGTTAATTCTCAAAGACTTTCCAACCCTGCCTAATTAAAATATTTTTTGAGTGCTTGAAAAGTGCTTAAAAGGTGCTTATTTTTGTTAAATAATTTGGCTACACACCCTGTGAATTAAATGGCTATTTTTATTTACTATTTTTCAGAAATTTAGTAAATATAACTAATTAACTGTATTTTTGTGATGAGTGTATAATATATTTACTGTGGCTGGATCACATTTGACAATTATGTATTTATTTATTTTTATAAAATATTTTTCCTTGTTGGGCTACTAATTTCATGTTACTATACAACCTGTGCTTTATAATACAGTAGAGCGCCGATTATCCGAACGTCCAATTATCCGAACTGTTTCCGAATTTTTTTTTTTTAAAGTTTAGAATACTTTTTAACTTATCAACAATTTTTCTGAATTTCTGAAAAAGTGGATCATTTGGATGAAAAGATGCCAGGTTATGCAGCAGAAGAAATAAAATACTGGTGTCGAGACACTGAAAACATCCCAGTATTTCAAATGATTATGAAATAGTTGCTAAAATTTTGAATGAAATTTGGAACTCCGCAGACGAAGAGGAAGACGTAGGTGATCAAGTTCAAGATAACGGATCTTCTCATATAGAAGCATGCAATTCATTAGATATTGTAATTAATTGGCTAGAACGTCAAAATGATGTTGATCCAGTTGAGTTGATTTATTTAAAAAGACAGGGGTGATTGTGCTCCGGAAAAAATCCGAATTTCCGGAATTTTCGCTAACAGTGATCTGGAAGTTTCCGGAGATCGAAGGTCCAGACGTTTCAAAATATCATTTATCACAGAAGTTTCCGGAAATCAAATTTTCAAAGGTGGAACTTAAAAACACAGTTTATTTTATTTGTTTGTAAGGGAGAGCCAGAGAGATACTTTATAAGCTTATATTCATGATTAATATTCATTTTTTATCAGTAAATAGTTGTTATAATCATAAACTCAAGAAAGAAAGACATATTTGTACATTTTAATTACTTCTCCAGGTCATCATAGCTATGTGTAAATGGTATAGGTATGTGTAAAATTTTAAATATATTTTAAGTAAACTAAGAAATATAGGAAAAAAACCTTGTTTAAATTTTTTTCAATTTAAACTGTTTTTTGTTTTTTTTAACTCAAGAAATTTTCCGGAATTTTGACTTGGGCTCACAATCACCCCTGAAAAGAATAAGGTATATGGCTGCTCAAAAAGAGCATCTTCTTTGAAACAAAAGTCTTTGCTGAATTTCTTTTGTAATGGAAAATAAAGAAAAATATGGTTAAATCAGTAATTGACGAAAAAAAAATTTTGAAAGTTCAAATATGATTAAAAAATATTTGAAATTTTTTTTTAAAGAGCTATTTTAGATAGTACTGCCAGTCCTAAACCTGGAAAAAGTGTGAAGGCAAGTTAGTGCATAAATAATGATAATTTAAACTAGATTTTAAACAACCTTCTAACTATCCGAACGACGTTCTTTCCCTAGCAGTTCGGATAATCAGCACTCTACAGTACTTCTTTTTTTTTAACTATTAGCTTGTCGTAAGAAAGTGGCATTACTTTAATGCTTGGGGCACAAAGAAGAAATATCTCTAACCTCGCTAGTTTTTCTCTTTTTTTTATTATTATTATTATAACAGTTAATGAATGTTTTATTTTATGTGTGAAGATAATTCTGTTGCAATTCTTGGTGCTCTAAATTTAATTTCAAATTTATTTTTATTTATTAGCTTTTTTAATAAAAAGTTTTATGATATTTATGCTGTAAGGGAGAAAATATTAACAGGAGTCTTTCTTTTTTTGCAGCATCTCAACCCACAGGATAGGAAGCAATTTTTACCTCTGTTTGAAGAATTCACAAAAGTTGATAACGATAGAAATTGGAGGTTTCGATTTGCTGTCGCCGAGTAAGAGCTGTATTTTATCTATTGAACATGTTAATCATGCATGTTATTCATAAAATTGTAGTTATTTATTTGTTATTTTTAGTTTGAAAAAGTAACTAAAAAATTTTCAAAATTTTTCTTTGTTGACCTGAGTAGGAATTTACTTTGCTTTTCTAAATTTTTGTAAATGACTTCCTCTTACTGTTCAAATATTGGTGAAGCATTTTTTTGTTTTTCTCCTTCTAACAAAAAGCAGTTAAAAACTAAATACTTATTAAAGCAATAGAAATCAAGATTAGTAAGTTTTTAATCATATGTAAAATTGAAAAGTTAAAATATAATAATTCTGTAGAAACTATTATGCATATGTCTCAGCAATTAATTAAAAATACTAAATTTATCTAATATTTTCTGATATTAAACAAGAAGAAATCTGTTACATATATGTGTGTGTGTGCTCGTGATTTAAATCAGAAGAACAAATGACCAAAGTTTATCTGTTCAAGGGGAAATAACAAATATGAATATAGCTATTTTCTGCAAACACTTTTTGATACTGTGGAAACTGGGAGATAACATGATGCTAATGTCCTATCTTTCTCGATCATTTTACTAAGTGAAAATGCATTGGTTTTATATATTATGCTCACAGAGTTGAAGTAAATTGCTCCAATATAAAATTTCTCTCTCTCTCTCTCTTTCAAAAATATCTAAGGTGGAGAAAAAAAATGGAAAAATTCATTGAGCAAAAGCTAATTTGTTTTAACTAAAACTACAATTCTAAAATTGTTGTTAAAATGCCAGAAAAGTGTGTTTTTATGAACTGGTAAGGAATTACTAAAGAAAAAAGAATAAGAGCTAAGGAAGGGGGAATCCACAATTTTTAAATTACCCTCTTAAAATAATCTAAACTCAAGAAAAATTAATAGCCAGAAAAAATAATAATAATTAAAGGCAAGACTATGTCCGAGCATCAATTTTTTTCGAAAAAAGTAACTAAAAAAAGGTTTTTGCATGGTTCCAAAATTGAGTCTTTACGGCATTGTGAGAGAATATACCACGCAAAATTCCAATGAATGGAATTAAAATAATTTGAGGTTTGACTTTCGTAATACGAAATTTGGTCTTTGCTGAACAAATTTCTCTCGAGCAACACTGAGCAGTAGATTTTCAAAGCGGTGTCACCTTAGTGCATCATTCAAATGATGCAATACTTTTCCTTTCTCCCATTTCAGGCAGACCAAATCCTTAGGTTGAATGATGTTTAAAAGCAAGACAAACCATTCCAACCAGAAGACCGATAGAAACCAGAGATAAACTTTCAAGATAGAATTATTAATTGGAATTCTTGTGTGATATTAATCTCTTCAGGCTCTGGGAAGCAACGGCAGAGATTTCGAATAAAATATGTGAACGTAAAGTTTGGGATTGTATAGCCGAGCAACATTAAAGTCTCGATCAGTTGTGCCTCGATTCTCCGACAGGAAAAAAGAAATCAATCTTTTGATGTACAGTAGATATTAAAAAGGAAACCTTAACAATGCAATCAACCCATAAACTTTTAAGCTAACTTAAAAGTTGAAAAGGGCATGAAAGTGTTCATTCATTTTAAGTATGATGCACTAACAGAAAATATTAAACAGATTCATCCTTTTTTTAAATTTTTTTACCAACAAGCAACTTTTCCGCATTGAAGCGTTGCAACATATTATTTAATTTTGCCCCCTGATATAAATATGCCTAAGATAACCAAATTCCACTTCGAACTTTTTATGTATTCATCTGACCATAGTTAATCATTCAATTTAATCAAACAAGATCTCTTAACTCATAGTGAATTGTAACTACCTTTCATATTTTTGTATTGAATAAGAAAGTGCTATTTTTCTAATCACTATTTTTAAGCAAAAATGGCCATTTATGTTTTTTTTTTTTTAAATGACTGCACCTCTGCAATTTCATGTTAACTTCGTCTTGAAAAATATCTTTTGTACTTATTTTTCCCTTTTCTTGTAGGCAACTGCGGAAGACGTCGGATTTATACGATGCTTTGGAGATTAAAAACTATTTTTTACCTGTTGCCTCTACATTATTACATGATAAAGTTTCAACAGTTAGACTGGCAGCTGTTAAATTGGTAAATAATATTATACAATGTATTTGCAAAATAAATATTTATCTTTCTTAATTAACTTCTTGGGTATTATATATTTGTGTTTCTTTGAAGGAAAAAAATTGTATAAAGTGAAATTTTCAAAATTTCTACCCATCTTTTTTTTCTTCCTAAGATGTGTATTTTCAAAATTTATTTTTTAAGTGTCTCTTCAGAATTTATGTTCCAGATCAATAAATTTTACCACAAAAGTAAAATAATTGTCAATTGTTATCATTTAAACTAAAGCTTCCAAACAATTGAAGATAAATTAAATTTATAATTTAGCCTTAATTATTATACAATTCAGCTAAATTAAATATAAATTGAAATCATTATGTATAAATCAAAATGCATTTAATTTATTTTGAACGTGCTTTTAATTAGGATGGAAAAGTAAAATATTAATTTATTTGAAATTAATTTTTCTTATAATCAATATCATGAAAAAAATTTAACATTTGATATAATATAAGTTTTGCGTTTTATGAATATCTAGACTGGTGGTGATTTCAACTCTTGTGAATATCAATTTACTTCATTTATGAAAAACTCAGTTTTTAAGAAATAAAATTATTTATGTAGCCTAAAAAAGTTTTTTTTTTTTTAAGCAAGTTGTTAGATATCGTTTATAAATTAAGCTAATACATAATTATAAACAGGGGTCTGTCCAGGCTGAATTTACTTCTGTTTAGCTGTACCTTCACAAATTCAACTTNTCATTTATGAAAAACTCAGTTTTTAAGAAATAAAATTATTTATGTAGCCTAAAAAAGTTTTTTTTTTTTTAAGCAAGTTGTTAGATATAGTTTATAAATTAAGCTAATGCATAATTATAAAACATGAGAACTGCTTTTTTATGATAACATTAAAATTGAATTCAGGGGTCTGTCCAGGCCAAATTTATTGCCGTATAGCGGTAGTTTCACAACATGCCTTTTCTTTTAAAAAAAATTTTATCCCATAAGAAGCGATAAAACCATATTTTTGTATTGATTTTTTAATATAATTTTTAATTTTCACAAATTATGTCTAACTTTTCACAAAATAGGTACTTCTCATATTATGTTACATTTTTTGAAGGTTGTATGTAACTTAATCTTTAAGATTTTTACTTATCTACTTATATTTACTTATCTATTAAGCTTTTTATAAAACAGTTTCCTGTCAAAATTTGCAATTAAGTGAATGAATACGAAAATGTAATTAGGAATTAACTTGACACAACATTGCTGAGCTATCTGTTTGTAATTGTAGACTAAGTTGAGATAAGTAACTCTGGAACTAAGTCTGTGTTGATGAAATAAGAAAATTGTGCTGTCTTTTAATTGAATTTAAAACTTTAATGTAACAATCTGTTAAGAAATAAAAATCTAGCAATCTGAAATTTCTCTCAAAAATGGTTACATTGCAGCGAAACAACTGATAAATAATTACCAATCATTTAACTTTCATGTTATGAGCAAATCCTGCAGACTCAGGAATATAAATTTTAATATAATTCTGGAAAAAGCACAGCTTTTTTTAACATCCTGCTTTTTCTTTAACTTTAGGAAAAAGAATCTGCTATGTTAATTCCCGTGGCAGAATCACGGCGGCATTGTCACAGAACATTACAGAGTTCTTGCAGAAAGAATTTTTTTTTTTTTTTGTAANAAAGGTAAAAAAAAAAAAAAAATCTTTTCCTACAGAAGTTTACACGTAACATTTGAATCATGCATTTAGATAATCAGTTTTTGACGCACTTAATTAAGCCGATAGTATCGTCAGGGTACGTACAGACTCCTTATACTGCTTAGAAACTCTCCTTTGGAATAAAAATGTCTCCAAGGAGTACTTGGAACTACTTAGATATCTAAATTAGTCCTTAGAAACTCCTTAGATTATTGTGTTGCATAGATGAACTTACTAAGTACGCTGATGAATTTGCTGTCCAAACAGGGAAACTGAATGATATGGCTTAGCTATCAAAATCTAATAGTTTGAGAAAAACTTAAAAAGAAAAAAACTGAATTGCAAGAGTTAGAAGGAAAAAAACAACAGCAAATAATTTTACATGTAACAAGCAAACTCAATAATTTACTGTGATTTTTTTTGTATAAAATGCCTTAGATTTTCTTATGTATTCAAATTTAAAAATATAAGATTGGTAGGTTTTTATGTTAATCTTTAACATCTGTACTTTAACAAGATTTATTAAAATATTTGAAATTGGAAAATGTATTTATGTGTAAAATTGACAACTTAGTCAACCTTCATCAAAAAAAATAAATAAAGTCAAAATTTTTTTCAAAAGGACTGGAAAAAAATATGCTAACTATACATTTTTGCGAGTTCTTTATAATAACTGCTTTTTAATTTTAAAAAAAAAAAAACTCATCTTTTACACAAAGTTTTTTAATTTTTGATAAGTCCTTAAAATTTAAAACTCCTTGGATTTCCTCTTCTGATCTCTGTATGAACCCTGTGTATCGTAAATCGATGTAATTTTATGATTGTATTTTGAGCAGATATTGATTTTCACATGGTTTTTAAATTTCTCGATATATTTCAAACAATATGGAAAATTCAAATCTTGCATTTGAGTATTTATTTTTAAGGCAATGATTCTATTGAATTTTTGGCAGTTTTTGCTATTGATTTCTAATTATTGATTGTTAATTTATATATTGATTATTAATTTCAATCTCTGAACAGTTGATCTTAAATCTGATATTTTTATGCGATATTACAATTATTTATTATACATACTCCTTTTTGTAGAGTCCAATTCGCACGATTTCATTGTCAATATATTTTTATTTATTTTTTTTTTTTCGATATCGGATTTCATGATTTTTAATTCTATTTTATTGTGATGATTATTTACAAAATGTGAAGGAAATAATTTGTGCGTTACCCCCCCCCCTGCCCTCANTTCCCCCCCTCAACAAAATGCGAAAATATCACCCATAATATTAGAAAAAAAATTCTTGCATGTTCAATTGAAAAAAATATTTTTGTTGCAAACATAGCGCTTTTGTTAATTACTTATTAAATTAATAATTATTAATAGTTAATTGGTAATTATTAATTTAGTAACATATATGCTTGTTATTATTAAAAGTATGGTGCGGAAAGATTTTTAGTGCTAGACAGTTTTGTCGCAGATACTTCGAGAAAATTCTGCCACGGGGATGTTAATTGTCTCTTATTTCTTAATGTTTCTACATTCTTTTATTATTTTGCTTTATTATTATTTTTAACATGAAATTTATATAAAACTTAACTGTCTGTTATACTGTCAATGTATACATATAGTAAAAAAAAAAAAAACTTAAAGTTTGTAAATACAGTTGGACTTCTATTTAACGAACTTCCATTTTCCGAATTTCTCTATTTTGCGAATTTTTTCGAGGAACCAAGAACATTTTGAAAATTTATGCGTGAAATAACTTTCAAATAGCGAAGTGAATTTTCTATTTAACGAACTTTTCTTTGAGGTCCGCTTTCCCCTAGTTAACGCATTTTATGAGGGAAATCTGCTCTGTCTTTCGCAGCGAGCTGATCGCTATTGATGCTGGATTGGGCGCTGTGCTTACTTTTCCTGGATCAAATGACATCTGGATTTTGAGCGATAGTAGGAGTGTAATCCAGCACCTTTCGAATTGGCATGGGGTGGGTGACAGTGATGGAGTTTCAATTTTAAACAAGCTGAAGACCCTTTCTTTCTCCCATAATATACACTTGCAATGGATCCCATCTCATGTCGATGTTGAGGGTAATGAGATTGCAGACTCCTTGGCTAAGAGCGGAACTGATCTGCCCCTGCATTCTTCGGCATCTCTGACTTTCTCGGAGCTCCACTCCCGTTTTAACAGGCTTCGTGATCCTGTGGCCCCTCCTGTTCATCATTGGTATCAGTGCAACCGCCCAGGTGGCAGCCTGACCCTTCAGTGCAGTAGGCGGGATCAGACGGTTATATCAAGATTTCGAAGTGGTCACCTAAGAACTATGTTGTTCAGTAATGGTTCAAGAGTTTTCCCTGTTTGCACTAAGTGTAACGACCAACAAGCTACTCCTGAACATATACTTCAATGCCTAAATATCTCTAAAGTGGACCTCTTTTCAGATCCACTTTTTGTTACAGACTTACTCAGAGTCTCTGGAGTCATGGACTTGGTTTAGCTCCGCTAACCGTGTGGGCCAGCAACAACAACAACNATATATTTATATAGTTTTTTTTTGTAAACAGCGCTCTTGTTATTTTAAATTAATAGCATATATTCAGGGTGCGTACAGACTCCTTATACTCCTTGGAAATAAAAAAAGTCTCCAAGGAGTACTTGGAACTACTTAGATTTCTAAATTAGTCCTTAGAAACTCCTTAGATTATTGTGTTGCATAGATGAACTTACTAAGTACGCTGATGAATTTGCTGTCCAAGCAGGGAAACTAAATGATAGGACTTAACTGTCAAAATGTAATAGTTAAAGAAAAACTTTAAAAGACAAATTGAATTTCAAGAGTTAGAAGAAAAAAATAACAGCAAATAATTTTAATTTTACACGTTACAAGCAAATTTAATTAATAATTTAATGTGATTTTTTTTTGTATAAATTGCCTTAGATTTTCTTATGTATTTAAATTTAAAAATATAAGATTGGTAGATTTTTATGTTAATCTTTAACATCTGTTCTTAACAAGATTTATTAAAATATTTAAAACTGGAAAATGTATTTATGTGTAAAAGTGATAGCTTTATTTTTCTTGATCAAGTTTGACAAAGTCATTAATTTATTTCAAAAGGGCTAGGAAAAGAATAAGCAAACTATACATTTTTGCGAGTTCCTCATAATAACTGCTTTTTAATTTTTAAAAAAAAAAAAACGGTCTAGTTATCTTTTACGCCAAATTTTTTAATTTTTGATAAATCCTTAAAATTTTGGACTCTTTGTTTACTCCTTGGATTTCTTCTTCTGATCTCTGTATGAACCCTGTATATTTTTTATGATTATTATAAGTATCTTGCAGAACGATATTAGTGCTAGAGGTTTTGTTGCAGATAGCGGGGAAAAATCCTGCCACTTTTTCTAACCAAAAGAAGACTCTTTATCTTAAGATTAAAGTTTTTTGTCAGTTTTCAAACTTCAGTGAGCTCCACATAATTGAAATGAAAATATATTGTGTTTGCAGTTACATCTCACTCTGTCAGGAGATTGTTGTGGAGGAATCCATGGACATTGCAGATTTCATTGATAAAGTTGCACCTAAACTCTTCTCTTTGGGTTATGATAAAGTGCCAAATGTCAGACTGTCTCTTGCAAGGTGCATTACATCTACGTTGCTCACAAACGGTATGTCATTCATTTTTTACTTATCTAATTGAATGCTATACTATATAACAGCAGCCTTTTTCTCACAGCGGACCTGTCAACGTTTGGTCATTTTACCACAGCCCGCTGAGGGGGGGGGGGGCGTTGATTGTTTATATTCTAGATCAGGGATGGCGAACCAATGGCACATGTGCTATTGCACTATGAACTGTTATTACACAAATGTCACACACTATGAAGCATATGTAACAATTAAATTAAAATTCACAAAAAGCTAACAAAATAATAAACAATTATTGATAAAAAAAATTAACAATTAATGCTAAAAGAACAATTAATAACCATTAAAAACAAGCTAACAATAAATAACTAGCAAAAAAAATCAACAGTCCTGCTTAAACTAATATCTTACAACCTAATATAAGTTATTTGTCATTTAATCTGCAATAACAGAAGTCCCACTGATGCTACATTAAGTTGAATTACGCTTATAACTGAGACATTGCAAAATGTATTTTCTTTTCAATGTATATAAAGAGTTTTGAGTTGATACTATTTAGTGTTATTATTTTCCCAATAATCATGAAGTCAAAATTATTTGACAGCACGTCTGTGACTTCATTAAACTATTTTTTAGGAAAAATGGCACGTTGGTGTATAAAGGGTTCGCCACCCCTGGTATACAGGGTTGCCACTCCACAGGAAAAACCTGGAAAATACAGGGAATTTATTTTTGTTTTTAATAAATGGTTGCCACTTAGCGCGATCTAAAGGATATTTAAGAAAGATATTTCAGCTATACTAAACTATTTCATTTACTATCCATTAAAGTATATTCAGCTGTTCTTTTTTTTCATCTTTTGTTTTTCCATCCATTAAAACTAGTGTAGTTAGCTCATACAACAGCGCAGTAAATCTTTCCTCTTAATATATTGTGTATAAAGCATGCAAGGAAAACACAGAGAAACAAAATTTCCAAATAGGAGTGGCAACCTCAACTGGAAATTAAATTTTTTTTGTGTCAGTAGATTGTTTTTTTTTTATTATTATTATTATTTTAATTATAAAAATTTCAAATTAAATAATGTGAACCCTCTTGGGAGCGACCACTCTCCGTTCTACCTTAAATTGGTCGCCTGGTGAAGTTTAGTCTCTCTTCGAGGTTACCTACATTGGGTTCAAAATTGTTATCGAAGGTACGTGACTTTTCTCAAATGATATTAACTGTAGTCGGTGTCATTTTCTTTATGCAGAAATGCCACTTTTGGCATCGTGAAAAGACAGATCGATGAATAAAATTTAGTTTCTTTAAAAATGATCCCAATATATAATTGTGTATAAAAACAAATTTAACCATTATGTATTTTAATTAAGTTTGTATTTAATTTTATCATAAAAATGAATAGCTTTTAAAGATTAAAAAAAGGTTTGTTTGTTTGAGATGCTTGTTTTTTCTTAAAATAACTTCTTTTTCTTTCCTAATTTAACTTTCAACTCCAAAAATAAATCATTGACAGCATCATCTTTAGTGCTCCTCTGATACAACATGACGTTGTATTGTTAAAAGAGAGCTCTCTAAATAAGAGCCTCACACAAATATTTTGAATATATTTTAATCTACTTATTTGTTTCGTTAAATGCTTTGTTTTGGTTTTTTTTTTCCTTATTTGACCTTTTTTGGTGCAAAAAATTGCCCTGTCACATGGAGAAATTTTATTCAACACTTAGTCTATAGAAAAAATTCCATTTCTCCTGAATGTGGTCGCCACATAGAGGAGGTCTTTACTGCAGATAATTATTTTTCTTTCCTTATTATTTTACATTCTAGACTGTCAGGGTTCATAGCGTTTTTAAAAAGTGCTTAAAGGTGCTAATTTTTGTTTTTAAAAGCCCTTAAGGATGCTCTTTTTATTAGATGTTTTTAAAATGTGCTTAAATATCTCTTCCAAATTGAGAATTTTTTCCTTTACCTTGTTGATTTTCGCTACGTATTATGCAAAAGTGTACTTTTAATATTTTTCTATTCAACGTTTTCACAAATCATTCAAACACAATATATTTCGACTTACCGTCGTTCTGTAGCGTATGAAAGTACTAATCATTTTACATGTCTAATAATTTGGCCAGGTACTGTATATAGCGCTTAAAAATATTTTTTGAGTGCTTTAAAGATGGTTATTTTTTCTTGAAAGATTTGGCTACACCATATGTTAAAGGTGCTTCTTTCTTTTTTTTTTGGTCGTATCGAATTTCTTAACTTTCTCTGCAATATTTATCAGAAACTAGCTATTTTATCATGATTATGTTAAGTTTTAGAAAATGTTTTTGAATTTTTTTACTTTATGTTTATAAATTAAGAGCTTAAAATGATAGAGAAAAAAAAATTTATTTTTGGCCAAATCCTAATTATGATTTTTTTTTTAATTTTCTCTTTGTTGGAAAGTGCTTAAAAATATTTTTTTTAGTGCAAAAAAAGTACTTAAAAGGTTATTTTTTGTTTAAAAAAAATCTGGCTGCGCACCATGAGTGGGATTCTTTTCTTTAATAAAACTTCATTTCAGTTATTTCTATTTTTCCAGGTAATTTCACAACAAGCCTTCTTTGTGCACCAGCTTTAGAGAACTTTCGTCAAGTTTTGGATTCACTCAATTCAGATGTTGATAGAGATGTGAGAGATGTTGCAAAAAATATTGATATTAGGATATTATTACACCAAGGAGATTAAAAAAGAAGCATTTTGTTTGAAGTCACTCGTGTAAAGCCAAAATATCTATTTTTAGAGAGCAAATCAAACAATAATTTAAAATTTTGTTTAAATAAAATAAGTTTATTTTTTGTTTTTGTTGCTTATACATTTCTTTTTTAATCCAGACATTTCCACATGTACTTAGATGTTAATCTCTATTTCAATTGTTATTCAAATGGTTGCTTATCTCTGACGTTAAATATCAAGATATGGCATGTGTTAGGTTTTGATTTTTGATGGCAGAAGCTCTTGAGTGGAAAAATTGTTGAAAAAAAATGTAATTACAGTTCGTAATTCGATGCTCCTCGTTTTCCTGTATGTATCATCTTACTTTAAATAGGTACAACCTGTAATGAGGGTTGCAAAAAACCCACCTACCCAGTAAAACCCGAGTGGGTTTTTCTAAGATTGATTTCTTTTTTATCCTCTGTTATATTAAAGAGCTATTCTATTGAAATATGTATGTAGTCTAGCCTAAAAAAAATTAACCAATTAGTGAAAAAATTGTGTTGGAGACTAGAGAGTCACCTTGCTGGCTGGATTTGACTGTATGGCCATTGATTATTCAGTGCCATAGATTTGCCTTCTATGCAAATAAAAAAATTTCGTCAAATATTTTTTTAAGATTAAAATATAAATAAAAAGTAATCCTGTATTAAAATAGGTTTCAAATGTGTGATGTATGTGAGTACATCTAACATTTTGTATCCTGATGTCAGAAAAAACTTATTGACAGACTTTGGCATCAGTTTATTTGTATTGATTATTAATTACCCATATGTTAAGTCAATTTATAAAATTAAACTTAATTATTAATGTTAAAATAAGGTACTTATCCCTGCCCTCTCTTTTGAAAAAAAAAACCCCATTAAAACATGAAAAGCCCACCTGGGTTGGGTTATTCTAGAAAAACCCGGGTTTTTTGCAACCCTGCCTGCAATAAGTTAAATGTACAACCTGCGGCCCGCGAGAGCTTCTAAACGCAATAAAAAAATGTTTCTTTTGATTTAGTTTTTGTTTTAACATTGTAAATTTTCTTTTAGTAAAATATTTTATTCTAATATATATTACACAATAAAATGCGTATATTTTTTGCACTCTTCATTCTATAAGCTTATCTTTGGTTAGAATTTTTATCCCCCACTTCTATGTATATATTTGGTAAATTAATTATTGTAAAAAATGGAAAAAGTTATTTTTTTTTAAAGCTTTAATTAAGAAGTAAAAATTACCAAATATTGTTATTATGAAATGTTAATTAAGTTTAAAGTACTTGTTGTGGTTAATATATTATGAGAAATGTGTATTACATCTGTTAAAATAATGTTTCAGAAATCTCAAATTAAAAGACGGACCATTTTATTTATATTAATCTAAAAATAATTTTTTGCCTGCTGTTGTTTTTGAAAATAGAAAAAGAAAATGAAAAAAATAAATGTTATCCCTTAAAGTATAAATTCCTATACATTGCTTAGAATTTTGTTTTGTTAAGAACTTCAGTAATTGTTATTTCATTGCAAATAAAAGTACAATTTTAGATTTTAATATTGAATGGTTTTATTTTTTCATTTTTAATTCATTGATAACAAATGATTTAAAGAAAAAAGAATGTTTGTTTTACTCATATTTAATTTTTTGAAACTGTGATACATAAGATATATATTTATACACATTTTAGCAAATATGAGTGGATAAAAAATCTTTATCGAAAGAATATTATTGTGTACATAGAAAAAGCTTGTTATTTGATTGTAAAAATAAATTGTATTATTCATTCAATGTTTCTGTCTTCATTTTTGAGTGATTCAATTAGCTTGAGAGAGCAGGGGTCTGTTTAGAAGAAATTTGGCTCCGTTAACAAAATATCTTTTCATCAGGGCTGATTGTGCTCCGTATTTCCGGAATTTTTGCTGACAGTGATCCCGAAGTTTCCGGAGATCGAAGATTCAGATGTTTCAATAAATCATTGATCAGAAAAGTTTTCGGAAATCAAACAGTTTATTTTATTTGTTTGTAAGGGGAGCTACTTTATAAGCTTATATTCAAGATTAATATTCATTTTTTATCAGTAAATAGTTATTATAATCATGAACTCAAGAAAGAAAGACATATTTGTAAATTTCAATTACTTCTCCAAGTCATCATAGGTATGTGTAAAATTTTAAATATATTTAAGAAATATTGAGAAAAAGAAAAAAAACCTTGTTTAAATTTTTTTCGATTTAAACTTTTTTTTTAACTCGAGAATTTTTCCGGAATTTTGACTTCGGCTCACAATCACCCCTGAATTTTCAAAGGTGGAACTTAAAAACACAGTTTATTTTATTTGTAAGGGAGAGGTATGTGTAAAATTTTAAGTATACTAAGAAATATTGAGAAAAAGGAAAAAAAAAACCTTGTTTAAATTTTTTTTTCTAAAACTCAAGAAATTTTCCGGAATTTTGACTTTGGCTCACAATTACCACTGATTATTGTTTTGTTAATCGAATGAACCCTTCCCAGAAAAGGGGGGGGAGAGAGAAACAAACTTAAATTTTGTCTTAGGCAGAAGCTTCTTCCTTTATTCGTCCGAAATGAATATTCTGCGTTTAGCAGTATAGGCTAAATACCAAATATTTGTATGTTGCATCTCTCATTTAGTAGCTGCAATGGCTGTTTATTTTTTAATTATAATTTTACAGTGTTGAGCATAATCTTGTATGTCTTTACACTTTATAAACTCCTTGAAAAAAAGTTTTATTGCCTTTCACAAAATGTCTGGACAGAGCCCTGGAGAGCTTTCCTCTTGCCCTGGACTGCGTTTGCAAAGTTCGGAGAAACTGCTGTGGAAATGTAGGGCTACTTTTAGAAGACAAACTCAAGCCCTTAGGCATAATTTTTTTGGGCTTTCTGCGACAAACCCCTCTAGCGCTAATATCTTTCTGCAAGATACTTTTAATAATAACTAATATACATGTTATTAATTAAATTTAAAGNATCATAAACTCAAGAAAGAAGGACATATTTGTAAATTTCAATTACTTCTCCAAGTCATCATAGGTATGTGTAAAATTTTAAGTAAACAAAGAAATATTGAGAAAAAAGAAAAAAAACCTTGTTTAAATTTTTTTCGATTTAAACTTTTTTTTTTTTTTTAACTCTAGAATTTTTCCGGAATTTTGACTTCGGCTCACTATCACCCCTGAATTTTCAAAGGTGGAACTTAAAAACACAGTTTATTTTATTTGTAAGGGAGAGCCAGAGAGATACTTTATAAGCTTATATTCATGATTAATATTCATTTTTTATCAGTAAATAGTTATAATCATAAACTCAAAAAAAGAAAGACTTATTTGTAAATTTTAAATACTTCTCCAGGTCATCATAGGTATGTGTAAAATTTTAAGTATACTAAGAAATATTGAGAAAAAGGAAAAAAAACAACCTTGTTTAAATTTTTTTTTTCTTTCTAAAACTCAAGAAATTTTTCGGAATTTTGACTTGGGCTCACAATTACCACTGATTATTGTTTTGTTAATCGAATGAACCCTTCCCAGAAAAGGGGGGGGGGAGAGAGAGAAACAAACTTAAATTTTGTCTTAGGCAGAAGCTTCTTCCTTTATTCGCCCGAAATGAATATTCTGCGTTTAGCAGTATAGGCTAAATACGAAATATTTGTATGTTGCATCTCTCATTTAGTAGCTGCAATGGCTGTTTATTTTATAATTATAATTTTACAGTGTTGAGCATAATCTTGTATGTCTTTACAATTTATAAACTCCTTGAAAAAAAGTTTTATTGCCTTTCACAAAATGTCTGGACAGAGCCCTGGAGAGCTTTCATCTTGCCCTGGACTGCGTTTGCAAAGTTCGGAAAAACTGCTATTGAAATGTAGGGCTACTTTTAGAAGACAAACTCAAGCCCTTAGGCATAATTTTTTTGGGCTTTCTGCGACAAACCCCTCTAGCGCTAATATCTTTCTGCAAGATACTTTTAATAATAACTAATATACATGTTATTAATTAAATTTAAAGTAACAGAAACGTTTTATTTACAAAGAAAAGCCTATTTGGGTATAATAAAATTGTATGTATTTTTTTAAAAAGGAAAATTGAATATTTTTTTTATTCTAATATCATAGGTGATATTCTCACATTTCGTAAGCGGAAAACACTAATTATTTCGCAAATCGTCATCACATAATAAAACAGGGTGCGTAGCGTTTGTAAAAAGTACTTAAAGGTGCTTTTTGGGGGATTTCATTTTTAAAGGTGCTTTTTTAAGCTGGCGTTTTTAAAAAGTGCTTTTTTTCACGAATAATTTTTTTTTCCCTCAGTGATATCTGGCGGATCCCCTGCATTTCACGAAAAATGGGGTGTTTGCTACGTAATCATTCACACGGACTTCATATCGTACCCACGTTATGACTTGCGCATGCGCGCCCACTCGAAACTGAAACCCGAGTGCTCCAGTTCGGATAGTCAGATCCTTATTAAATTTTTTTCTTTTTAATTTTATTCTTGTTTATTTTATTTTACTTTTAACACTTTTTTGATGTAGGGGGTAAGGGTACTTTTGTTCAGAGTCAAGTTGAATTCTCTCGGTGATGTGGTTTAAAAAGTGCTTATTTTTGATTCAAAGATTTGGCTATGCACCCTGTAAAATAATAATTAAAAATCAGTGAAGGAAAAGAAAACAAATTTTATTTTTCCCAAATGGGAATAACAAAATCGCGAGCATTTCTTCTCCTCTGATGAGTGATAAAGGTATCTCTTCAGTATAATTGTGGAGAAAAGAAATTTTTGCTCCAATATTCTTTATTTTTCATTCTTCTCAAATAAGAATCGAAAAAATTAAGATCATTTCTTTCCCCTCCGATGCATACTCGAAAAAAGCATCTCTTGAATATAATTTTGGAGAAGAAAAGTAAGCCAATATTTTTTACTTTCTAAAAGGAAATTCTTTCTGCAAGAACTCTGCTGGGTTCGGTGAGATTCTTGCAACTCTACTGCATTTTTCTAGATATTCTCAATTTCAAGGTTCATTTTACACCGTCTGATATCGAACCGAAGAACCTCTTCATCTTTTTAAAATGGCTAATATAATCAAGAAACTGGTTATTTTATCATGATCATGTAGACTATAAAAAAAATGTTGCATTTTGTTCATGCATATAGTGCTTAAAAGGTGCTTATTTCTTGTTGAAATATTTGTCTACGCACCCTGATTCTGAAGCAACTTTAGAATTGTTATCTGTACTATCTGAAATGTTTTTCAATGTTGAATAATAAAATTTATTTTCTTTTGATATTTTATAACGGTGAACTGGACGTTATATACTTCTTTACTATAAGATGAAATAATTTTAAATCTTGTATGATAGACATGGTGCGTAGCGTTTTTAAAGGTGCCTATTTTCGTTTTTTAAAAGACCTTAAAGATGCTTTTCTTTCATGGCGTGTTTTTAAACAGTACTTAATTTTCCCTTTGAGATTTTTTTTTTTGACCATGTCGATTTTCGCTGCGTACAAAAGCGTGGTTTTCATATTGTTCTGTTCAACGTTTTCACAAGTCGTTCAACCACAATCCATTTCGGCGTACCGTCGGTACGTAACGTATGATAACGCCCATCATGTTACATATTTGAGGAAATACTCGACAGAGACTGGATTCGGTGAGATTCTAGCAGTACGCGTCAAGTTTTAATGAAAAATGGAGGTACTGGGATCAAGTTTTAAGCAAAACTGAGTTAATCCGAGGAATCAGACGGTGATTGGAGGTACTGGGATCAAGTTTTATAGAAACTAAGTTACTCCGAGGATTCAAACGGTGGTGGGAGGTACTGGGATCAAGTTTTAATGAAAAATAGAGGTACTGGGATCAAGTTTTAAGCAAAACTGAGTTAATCCGAGGAATCAGACGGTGATTGGAGGTACTGGATTCAAGTTTTATAGAAACTAAGTTACTCCGAGGATTCAAACGGTGGTGGGAGGTACTGGGATCAAGTTTTAATGAAAAATGGAGGTACTGGGATCAAGTTTTAAGCAAAACTGAGTTAATCCGAGGAATCAGACGGTGATTGGAGGTACTGGGATCAAGTTTTATTGTACCGTTACCCTTCAAACTTTGGCAAG